ACGCATCTCAGCACAACACCTTTGTCACTTGGGAAGCTGCTGGAGAGGAGGGAAGACGTCAGGAAGATTCCATGTGTTCTCCGTGGCTGCAGGGACAGGGACAGGGACGGGGACAGGGCCAGGGGAGGATGTGCTGTCCTACGCGACACCACAGCTGGAGCCTGTCACAGGGAAGAGCTGGGACGTGACCGCCCCCCCCGAACGCTACAGGGAGATGGGGATGACCCTCGGAGATGCGGGAGAGATGCACGAGATTCCAGGGAGCCGGGTGGCTCACGGAGTGAGCCCTGGGGGCACCTCCTTTGTCCCCCCGTGCAAGCGCTGGACGCTCCACAGGCTCCTGTCCAGCTTCTCCCTTCCAGCGTGCTGGAAAAACGTCTTTTGCCGCGGGCCGTGTCCTTGCTTTGCTCCCCGCTGGGACACCGGGAAGGGCGCGGGTCCCGGTGCCGCTGTCACCCTCCGGCTCCCCAGAGCAGCCCTGGCACAGCCTCTCCCTCCTGGAGCAAGAGCCACTCGTGCTGCAAACGCGTCACAGTCGGCGCTGACGCTACAGCTCAGAGCAGGGCTGGGGGCGTCTCCCCCATATTCCCTCCCTCTCCCCATCCAAGGAGAATCCTTCGCCGAAAGGCAGCCAAGAGCCCCGGCTGGGATGAAGTTTGGGTGTTTGGGGCGTTTTGGGGACCTGTGGTTGTGTGACGTGCTCCCTCCCCCCTCTTCTGGAGCTGCCACCTGTTTGGTGTCTGCCCAGCGAAGCCCAGCTCGTCCCTCACTCCCGGCTGTGTCACTGCCCTGTGGTGACACGGAAATGGCTCCAGCGCTTTAAAGGCGCCTGCCTGCCTGGATCGGGATCGGGATCACGGCAGGGCGAGCTGAGTCCTCCTGGGCCCCGCTGCTCCCCCAGATCAGGGAGAGGAACCGAGGCAGGGAGCGGGGATGGACCAGATTGCGGTGGAAGGGTCTCTGAGGGAGCGGGTTGTGAATTTGGGCTCCTCCGAGCACAGGTAGGGCTTGGAAGGCAAAGGCAGCAGCTTGCAGGGGGCAGATGGACCGGAGGCAGAGCAGAGCCAAACCACCTGAGGCTCGTGGATGCCCAGAGCTTCCCAGAGCTCCGCGTGGATTCCTTGGGCTGCATCCCTGGAGGAGGAGGAGCCTCCCGCCGGGAGGAACCAGAGGTGGGCACCCAAGATCGGGTGGCTCCACCCTGTCCTGAGTGGGACCATCCCCAGCGAGTCCCGGGGAGGGAAGTTGAGAGCCAAGGGCTGGGGGGGGTCCCTGGGTACCCAAATCTCTGTAATTATAGATCCATGTCCATGCAGCAGCTCCCCTCAGGACAGAGCGCTTTGGGAAGGATGTGGCCCTGCAATGTGATCCCGGATCCCTGATCCTGCCTTAATTCTCTCTGTACTTTGGGGGTTTCTTCTTCCCTCTCCATTAATCTCTGAATATTAGGTGGAAAGCGAACAATTACCACACTAATGGCTCCATAAATTCCTTCATTATTTATTAAACTCGAGCGCTCCCCGCGCAGCGGAGGGAAAGAGACGAAACGGAGAAGAAATGGGAGAGGAGGGGAGTGAAGAGCCGGGTCAGAGGGGCTCGGGCTGGGCTGCGGCAGCGGGGAATTCACGGGCTGCCGTTGCCCTCTGCCGGCAACGGGACGGAGAGGGGCTGCTCTTCCTTGTCCCTGCTCTTCCCTGCCCGCTGGCAGAGCCCCGGGGTCTCCAGGGACACGAGGCTGGGGAGCCCTGGGATGTCTGGGGCTGCTGGTGGTGAGGATGCTCCGCCACGATGCGACCACCCCGCCCGGGGACCCAAAGCTGTCCCCAGAGCTGTCCCCAAAGCTCTCGGGGACGACGCCGAGCAGCGCCGCACACGGATAACACAAGCCCGGTTTTAGGAGAGGTTAATCCCGGCAGGGGCACCGGGAAAGGGGGAGGAATGTTGAAGTCCCCACCCCGTGCAGCCGGACACGGAATGGAGGGAATTCCGCTCTCTCCCGGCTTTCCTCGAGGTGCCGGGAGCTGTTTGCTGCCAAACCTCCCCGGCATCCCGCGGGGAAGGGGCACGTTCTCCAGCTGATTTCCCGCTGGCCCAGGCGAGGTGTGACCTGCAGGGATCATCGGGGATCAGGAGCCGCCGCGCCGGGGGAGGCTTCGCCCCCTCTGCAGGTCGGAGAGCGCGGCGAGCTCCGCTCCCGGGAGGGCCCTTGTGGCCTCGCCTAAGTGGAGCTAATGGATTTCCGTGCCTCCAGCAGCCAGCTGGGATCTGAGCACGTCTCCTGGAAGGAAGGCAGCTCTTCTGAAGGCAAAACTGCGAACCAGCGGATGCCTCCCCAGCCGAGGTGCTCACCAGCCTGCCTGGATCAGCAGGATTGGGGTGGGAGCTCTGGGTCCTGCCAGGAGCCCTTTGCTCCTCCACCATCCACTCCAGCCAGGTTTGGAAAGTAAAATGCACACTTAAACCCCCTGAAAATGTGGTTTTGTTTTGTTTGTTTGTTTGTTTTTCAGGCAAACAGCAAATTTCTGTGGTTCTGCAACACCCCGGTACCCTCTGGGACGAGCCCAGCTCCTCAGAGGGACGTGCCTGCCCGACTGCCATGGACACCAGATGTAATTAGATGTTTAGATCTAGGCCAGGGGCTCCAGGGCCATCTGGCACCTGAATTATTCATTCATTTATATCTAAGCACAGGCAGAGAGCAGAGCGCAGCTCCTTATCCAGCCTGGGCCCAGGGGGACATTCCTGCTGGAGCCAGATGGTTTTTCATGGCCTGACAGAGCCTGATCCTTTCCAGAGCTCCTTCCCAGCGCTTGTGACGCCTTTTCCCAGCGCCAAACCCGCTCCAAAACACACCAGAGACTGCACAGAGATCCACATCGGCAGCAGCTGCTGCAGAGGTGGAAAAATCCCAGAGGAGAAGAGTCTCCCCTCGGAAGGAGAGGGCCAGGAGGCCTGAAATCAGATTAAATGTCTGTCAGGAGGGTGATGTGGCCCAGTGCTCCTCCAAGGTGTCTTTCACTCCGTGACTCATCAGCTGAGGAATTTTAATCCCTGCCTTTCTCTCCCCAGCCCAGGCACCCGAAGAGAAGAGACGACCTTGGTGAGGGATTTCTTCCCCAGCCAGGGGAGCTGTGCCAGGTTTTACCAGATGTAACCTCAAGGATGAGGTTGAAATATGGCAAAATAGGGTTTTTCCTCACAGTTTTCCCTCACCTGTTTGAGGATTAATTCCTCAGCTCCCTCTGGGCAACCTGGGATAGTGGAAGGGGTTGGATGAGCTTTAAGGTCCAACCCAAACCAGCCTGGAATTCTGTGGTTCTACACAGTCACTACTGGGGTTCCTCAGGGAGCTGGGGAGGGTCTGGAGCAGCAGAGGGAGCTGGGGAGGCTCAGCCTGGAGAAAAGGAGGCTCAGGGGGGACCTTCTGGCTCTCTGCAACTCCCTTCTACAACTCCCACGGGCAGAGCAGAGAGGGGGAAAGAGGAGGAAGAGCCCCAGGGCAACACATGGCAGTGGGAACCTGACAAAATATAGAGATTAGAGCGGGATGGGGATCCTCACAAAACACAGGGATTAGAGCAGGATCCTCACAGGGCACAGGGATTAGAAAGGATCGGGATCATCACAGGACACAGGGATTAGAGCAGGACCGGGATACCCCACAAAACACAGGGAATAGAATGGGATCCGGATCCCCACAGAACAGAGGGATTAGAGTGGGATCGGAATCCTGACAAAACACAGGGATTAGAGCCGTTCCTGCCCCACAGGAACGGGTTTTCCCTAATCCAGAGGCCGCAGCGGCTCCGAACCTTCCCCTCAGGCCTAACCCACGGCTCTTCCCCTCCCCGGGCCGCTGAGCCGAGCTCCAGCTCCTCGAGGAAAGACGGAATTAAATCGCCATAACACCGTTTTTCTGAGGCTTTACGTAGGCGATATTAGCAGTGGTTCGGAGGCTTGGAGGCAGAGCAGGGCCCTGCAGCTCCTCAGGGTCCCACAGCGGGCAGAGCCCTGCGGGGCTCCCACAGCCGCGCCGGGAGCGCTTCGCTGTATTCCCTGGGGTGGATGCGAACCAGGAAACACGGAGAGAGGGCGGGAGAGGCACTGAATGTAGCCGAGCTCCACCTTTTCCCACCCCGGCGGGTTTGTTGGGGGGGCTGAGGGGACTCACGGGATGTTTAAAACCCCCGCTCCGCCTCCCAGCGCCGCCCGGCGCGCTCTGAGCCCTCAGCGGCGGCCGCGCCGCAAGCCGCGCCGGGGAACCGCCCCCCGCCCCGCCACCGCCAATCAGAGCAGGCGAAAACGTGATTGATGTTCGCTTTGGCCAATCAGCGCGCTCCGCGGCCGCACCTAACGGGTCGCTGGGGAGATTTTCCCGCCCAATGGGGGCCCGAGGGCGGAGTCGCGAGGAGGCCCGCGCTTCGCCCTGAGCGGCGTGAGGCTCAGCCAATCAGAGACCACAGCGAAGGCGAGCAGTGACCAATGAGGGAAGGGGGCGGGGAAAGAGCGGCTCGCGAGAATTCCGGAGGGACGCTGGGAACCCGCGTCTGAGCGCGGGGGCCAATGGGGGAGGGCGGGGCGGGGCGGTAATAGCTGGCGGGTAAGGCAGCCAATCGGGCGGCGGGCATGAGTTCCTCCCAGCGGCCAACGAGCGGCGGAAAACCTTCCCGTGGTTGAACCGCCGCGATTGACAGGCGGGGCCGCCCAATCAGAACGCCGCGCCCTTTCTAACTGACCAATGAGTGGGCCGCGGCTCTCCCCGCCCCTCCCCGGGTGCCAGCGGGCGGAGTGACAGCGCAGTGAGCCAATGGGAGCGCGCAGCGCCTGGCTGTGGGCGGTACCTCCCAGCACCGGCGGCCAATGGGCGCGGGCACCGCCCCGGGCAGCCAATGGGCGCCGGGGCGGGGGCGGCGCGCGCTGCCGGCGCGGCTCCCAAGATGGCGGCGGGTGCGTGAGCGGGGCGGGCGGGGAGGGCCCGGCGGGAGCGCGGCCGCCGCCGCCATGAAGGGCAAGGAGCGCTCGCCCGCCAAGGCCAAGCGCTCCCGGGGCGGCGAGGACTCGGCGTCCTCCTCCTCCTCCTCCCGCGGCTCCAAGAAGCCCAGCGGCTCCTCCGGCAGCGGCGGCGGCGGCGGCTCCAACGGCGGGAAAGCGGCGGCGTCCGGCGAGAGCAACAGCGGGAGCGGCCGGCGCGGCGCGCACACCGACAAGGGCCGCGCCGGCAGCCGCGAGTACGAGAGCGGCGCGGCCGCCAGCGGAGGGGGCCGACACGGCTACAGCGGCAAAGCCGCGGAGGCGTCGCGGAGCAGCAGCAGCCGCGGAGAGTCGCGGGCGGCCGCCGCCTCCTCCTCCTCCTCCTCCTCCTCGGAGCCCGGCGAGTACAAGACGCTGAAGATCAGCGAGCTGGGCTCGGCGCTGAGCGACGAGGCGGTGGAGGACGGGCTGTTCCACGAGTTCAAGCGGTTCGGCGACGTGAGCGTGAAGATCAGCCGCCTGCCGCCCGGGCCCGGCTCCGGCTCCGGCTCCGACGAGCGCGTGGCCTTCGTGAACTTCCGCCGGCCCGAGGACGCGCGGGCGGCCAAACACGCGCGGGGCCGCCTCGTGCTCTACGACCGCCCGCTGAAGATCGAGGCCGTCTATGTGGGCGGCGGCGGCCGCCGGCGCAGCAGCCGCTCCCCGGCGCTGCTGGATAAGGAGTCTCCGTACGGGGCGGCGGCGGCGGTGGGGGCGGTGGCGGCGGCCGTGCGGCACCCGCCGGCCGGGGCCGCGCAGCGGGCGCTGTCCCCCGCGGGCAGCGGCGGAGCGCTGGGCTACCGGGACTACCGGCTGCAGCAGCTCGCCCTGGGCCGGCTGCCGCCGCCGCCGCTGCCGCGGGAGCTGGAGAGGGAGCGGGACTACGGCGGGTTCTACGAGGCGCGGGTGCGGCCCGCCTACGGGCTGGAGAGGGTGGCCGGCGTGGCGGCGGCCGGGGGGTTCCGCGGAGGAGGAGGAGCGGGAGGAGGAGGCGGTGCCGGAGCGGCGGGCGAGGAGGAGATCAGCCCCGAGGACGACCAGAGAGCCAACCGTACCTTGTTCCTGGGCAACCTGGACATCACCGTGAGCGAGTCGGACCTGAGGCGGGCGTTCGACCGTTTCGGGGTCATCACCGAGGTGGACATCAAGAGGCCGGGCCGCGGGCAGACCAGCACCTACGGGTTCCTCAAGTTTGAGAACCTGGACATGGCGCACCGGGCCAAGCTGGCCATGTCGGGGAAGGTGCTGCTGCGCAACCCCATCAAGATCGGGTACGGCAAAGCCACCCCCACCACCCGGCTCTGGGTGGGCGGCCTGGGGCCCTGGGTGCCCTTGGCCGCCCTGGCCCGGGAGTTTGACCGCTTTGGTACCATCCGCACCATCGACTACCGCAAAGGGGATTCCTGGGCCTACATCCAGTACGAGAGCCTGGACGCGGCGCAGGCGGCCTGCACGCACATGAGGGGCTTCCCCCTGGGGGGCCCGGACCGCCGGCTCCGCGTGGACTTCGCCGACACCGAGCACCGGTACCAGCAGCCCTACCTGCAGCCCCTGCCCCTGCCGCCCCCGGCTCACTACGAGCTCGTGGCAGAGGCGGCTGCTTTCGGGGCTCACCGGGGAGCCCCCCCCGACCCTCTGCGGGGGGCCCGGGACAGGACGCCACCGTTGCTTTACAGAGACCGCGACAGAGACCTTTACCCGGAGACGGAGTGGGTGCCCCCGCCGCCCCCCGTGCGGGACAGGAGTAACCGGGCGGCTGCCTACGACCCGCTGGAAAGCCTGGAGCGCCGCCGGGACGGGTGGTCCTTGGAGCGGGACCGCGGGGAGAGGGAGCTGGGCAGTAGCAGTCGGGACCAGCCCAGGAAGCGGAGGCTGGCGGAGGACGGAGGGCGGCACTTGGACCGCTCCCCCGACAGCGAGCGCTCCTCGTCCTCCCGCAAGCGCCACTGCCTGGCTACCAGCTCCCCGCCGGACCGCAGCCCCGAGCTCCTGGGGGGCCGGGAGCGGTACAGCAGCGACCCCGAGCGCTCGTCCCGCCTGCTCCTCTTGGAGCGGCCGTCCCCGGTGCGGGAATCGCGCCGGGGCAGCCTGGAGCGGGGGCAGAACGAGAAGCGCGACCGCAAGAACTCGGCGGAGCGCGAGCGGAAGCACCGCGGCGGTGCCGCCGCCGCCGCCCAGGAGGGCAAGAGCCCGGCCAAAAAGGATGAGCGGGCGGCCGAGGGAGGCGGGGGGGGCTCCCGCCTCAAACCCCCTCCCCAAAAACAGCAGCAGGACGGGGCGGCGCAGGCCGGGGCGGCGCCCAAGCTGTGCTTGGCCTGGCAGGGGATGCTCCTGCTGAAGAACAGCAACTTCCCGTCCAACATGCACCTGCTCCAGGGGGACCTCGGCGTCGCCAGCAGCCTCCTCGTGGAGGGGGCCACGGGGGGGAAGGTGGCCCAGCTCAAGATCACCCAGCGGCTCCGGCTGGACCAGCCCAAGCTGGACGAGGTGAACCGGCGCATCAAGGTGGCGGGGCCCAACGGCTACGCCATCCTCCTGGCCGTGCCCGGCGCGGCGGAAAACCGCGCGGCCGCCGGAGCCGCCGAGCCCGCCACCACCTCCACGCAGAGGCCGCTCAGGAATCTGGTGTCCTACCTAAAGCAAAAGCAGGCTGCAGGGGTGATCAGCCTCCCCGTGGGGGGGAACAAAGACAAGGAGAACAGCGGGGTGCTGCACGCCTTCCCGCCCTGCGACTTCTCCCAGCAGTTCCTGGACTCCACGGCCAAGGCGTTGGCCAAATCCGAGGATGACTATCTGGTCATGATCATTGTCCGGGGGGCGTCCTAAGGGGCCCTCGTGTTCTGTTCCCAACCCTGCCTACTCCTCCACCCAGCCCCTCCAGCGTGTGCCAGGTGCTATGGGATACAGCCTTAGCCAGCCCTGTTGTTATTTTAATTAGACCTTTGTTTGTAGGTGACTTTTTTTCCCCCCGGCCCGATTTTCTGTTACTACGTTTTTCTATAAAGGTAGAAGCCAGAGAGGTTGGTTTAGGTGTAGTGTGAATAGGATATTTTGAGAATTTCCCTATCAGTGGGGACAGCAGGGAGGCTCGGCCTGCTTTGATTTACAAAAAAAAAAAAAAAATTGAAAAAAAAATAAGAAAAACGAGAACTGGGGAGGGGGAGGGAGAGGGAAAAGAAAAAACTCCCGTCTTCTTGATTTTGATTTGTGTCCTTATTTCATTTCATGTTTTTTAAAGCAAGTCCAAGAGCTTGTCGTCCTCTGACAGAGCTCCAGACCCAACAGACCAGGTTTAAAGCACTCGTTGGAATTGGAAAACCACACGTTTAGTGGCAGATTGGTGTCAGCTCCTTTTCTGAGCCCTTGAAATTCCGTGTGGGCCTTGGGGATCACTTCCCTCTGGAGCTGGAATGGTTTCCCCTTTGGGTCGAGTGGCTCAAGGTCGATGTTTTCCAGGTGGGCAGAACACAATTCCTTCTGGGAAAGGAATTCCTTTCTCATCCAGCCTCTCCCCTCCTCCCCTCTGCCAGGTGCATGCACTGAAACCGGGCTTTTTCCCAGGTGTATCCCCCCGTTTCCCGGTGTATCCCAGACGTGCACTTTGGGTTTGGAGCGGTGAGGAGGTTTTGGTGACGAGCTGGGAGTTTTTGTTACAAACCAGGAACGTTGTGCCCGCTCTGGTGTGCAGGAAATGAGGAGGTGCTTGAAGGAGAACTTGAGTTCTGTTGTGGGTTTTCAGTTTTACTGCCAATTTTTTTTTTTTTTTCTGTGTGTGTTTTCCAAGAATTGCAGGTACAGTGGGGTCTGGTTCCACAGTGCAAACTCTCAGCAAGTAAGTGCTTCTCTCCAGAGATGCTTTTAATTCTGGGATAATTTAATTACATAAAAGTTCTCATTAACGTTTTACCTCTTTGTTAATAGCAAGGAACTGCTGTCTGCTAGGGACTCTTCAGGTACAGTGCAGTGGGCATTACATGAGGTTTATCATTTTCTGGGCACCTGGAGAAAAGTGGTTTTAGCATCTTGGAGAAGTATTAAAAACACTCCGAGGTGCCAAGGTTTGAGCTCTTGTTCCTGTGATTCAAGGATGAAACAGTTCTGCTTTTTTTTTTTTTTTTTTCCTTTTCAAAGAACATGGTTAATTTTCTCTTATTTTTCCCCAACAATTGGGCACTTTTCTTCACCTGTCTCAGCCACCTTGGTAATCCAGGCATTTAGGAGGGAAGAAGGGATTTAAATCCCTAAAGGGGGATCTAAATCCCCAGTGCTCTGTTTAACAACCAAAAGGATGTTGCAGCAACTTCTAAACTGGAGTGTAAATCTGACTGGTATCTCTTTACAGGCCCCAAAAATTGTGATCTTGCACTTAAACCCAGAATGTAACCTTGCACTTAGCCACGTTTTCAGGGATTTGGGCCACGGAAAAGCGACGCTGCTCCAATAGATTCCTTGGGTGATGGATGCAGGGGTGGGTTGATTTGTGGTACAACTTGATCAGATTCAAAATGGGGAATAAGTTGTGAATAGGAGATGAAGGAGGAAATGTCTTGAATGTACTGTGTGGGTGTAACTGAACTTGCTTGAGTTTCTGCCACAAAAATAGGGAAATTTTTGTTACTGAACCACTTTGGTTGATTATCTGCCTGGAATGAATGGACACAGTATCCCAAGAACTAAGAATTCCAATGTGGCAGGGGGGTTTTGGTTTTCAAAGCTTCTTTTTCTTTCTAAGTGAGAAGCTAAAAGCCTCATTTAATGCTCTTAAATTCGAGGGGTAAAACTCAGGAGTTCTGGGTTGTCCTTCGGGGTGAATGTAAGAGATGGCAGAATTCAGCTGTTCAGCTTCCTATTAACAACGAGAATTTTGGGGGAACGACACCTTAAATGCAAATCACTGTGTTGTGGGAGTTCCAGAGTGTTTACCACTTAATGCAAAGAATGTTTTGGTTGGAGCAGGTGTCTGTTGTGCGTCAGCAGGGGATCAACTCTGTTCAAGTGCTGCTCGTGTTCAGAGGGGGTTTTCTCGTTGCATCCGACAGGAATCACTTGCAAAGGGTTTTCTAGGAAAGAAATTTGAACCTCTGGGAATTCAAATCCGCCCTAAACAAGGGAGAAAAAAAAAAAAAAAAAGAAGGAAAAAAGCACTAAATGTTTGTGTTGGACACTGGAAGTCGCTGAGAGCAGCGTTTGTTCCGCTGAGGCACAGCAGGCACCTGCTTAAAAAGCCATAAAACTTGGGGTCAGCGTGGCTGGTCAAGGCAAACTCAGTGTGGGAAGAGCATCCTGGGTGCACTTCCAGTTTTTCCTTGGGAAAATCCTGGTGGTTTTAACTACCACTGGTTGCAGTGAGCCAAATTGTGCTATGCTGGGCGGGGGATGAAAAGGAGCGGGCGAGGCTGTGTTTGACTCCAGCTTTTCCGGCTCCTTATTTCCTGGAGTATCTCCCTTTAAATCTGGTTTATTTGTAGCGGCTGCTCTGTTTTGTAAGCAAAGATTTTAACACCCTTGGAGGGTTCTTAAGGGCAAAACATTGACTGGCAGCCGCTTTGCCAGGATCCCGGTGCTGCCATCCCGGATGGGCTGTGCTTTCCCCCTTGGTCTGAGGGATTCCCCCACTGGAGTAACTGCCCACTGAAGTTGTCTTGGCCAGGGCTGAGCATTCAGAAGCCCGTGGGTGATACCACTGTGTGCAGAGCAAAGCAGATGTAGCAGTTGTTGGCTCTCTCCTTGTGTCTGGCATTCCGTTGCTCCGGCGAGAGCTGGGTTTCCCTCCACATTCGCGTGTGCAGCTGATGTTCCGATATTTCATTAGCGTCTTGAATTAGCCTGGAAAAAGGATGTCCCTTTTCCCTGAATCATTTCACCCTTGTGCTTGAACGCTTTGGGGGAAAGAACCTCAAGTGACTCATAGTTTTTGTTCGAGATTTCAGTTCGCTGGGGTTTGGGGTTTTTTTTGTGTTGTTTTTTTTTTTCCTTCTTTTAATTGGAAACATTACGCAACTTCCTTGGCCTCCATCCAGCCGCTTTGTTTGCTCCCGTTGAGCTGCTGTGGTGGGAACACCGAGGTTACTCTCAACCCAGAGGTTTTAGGGTCAGAAATACCAAACGCATCTTTGTCAGCGCTGCAGAGAGAAGGGCTGGGCAAGACAAAAATCTTCCCTTCTCTCTCTCTTTCTCACGTTTTCCCACGAGGGTGTTGAAAGGTGGAATATTTCGGTGAAACTTTTCTCGGCAGAGAATGGGTTGGAATTTCTTCCACGGGTTTGGGAGACCCTCTGGTTGATGGTAACCGAGGTGAAAGGCCTCGAGCGTTAATGGGGGAGGAGGAGGGGAGCGAATCAAAATTGTGAAGACAGGTTCAAAAACTCTGAGGACTCAGGGATAAAACGGCTTGGAAAACGGTGATTCCTGGCTCTTTAAGTGAAACAGTGTTGAGGGACTCCTGGGGAGTCCGTGTGTGTGCCCAGAGGGGAAGAAATGATGCCATGTGTCTCTAGAGCTTTTGGGGTTCTTTCCCCTTCGTCCCCCGCTGTGCAGCATCGAAGGACAGATATTCCAATGATTCATAGACTGGACGATGAGGTGATTTTTGTATCAGGCGTAAAAAAAAAACGGCCCAGCCGGTTCAGAGAGGGGTTCGTTGAACATTCAACTTCCCGCAGTTCCGATTTGTGCGCGAGCGCTGGCGGAGAAATACGACTTGAATAGCAACAATTTTCAGTTCCACTGGGCGTGTCTTTGATTTGACCTTTTTCCTTTACTACTTTGGCGCGGCCAAACGAGGGCAGAAGAGCTGTGTTAGCAACACTACATTTCATGGGTTTGGTGATAAAAGTTGCCTTCGGGGGAGATAACCCCGGGAGGAAAGCCAACCCAGCTGAGCCACAGTTGGGTTGGTTTTCCTCGTGGTTAATGGTTTCAACGTGTCCCATCAGCTGTTACTGCGAGTTGGGTAAATGCTCAGTACTGTAAGCCTTAGTTTAACCTTGGTCCAAAACGAAGCCCTGCACTACTTGCTTGTTTTGCATCTCCCCCCTGGAAGAGACGACTTCATTCTTGAGGGGTTTTGTGCCCGTGGGTTTGAATTGGTGCTTTTTTTGAAATCCAAGTAGAATATTCAGAAAGGCCTCGTAGCTCTTTGTGTCCATCTGTACGATGTAGGGAGGGGGAGAGGGGGAAAAAACAACAAAAAACAAAAAACAAACCCCCCCAAATCTGGTGTAAACATTTGTATTGAAATAACGTTTTCTTTCCTCCTCGCAAAGCAAATCTGGTGGACTGCAGAAGACATGGGATACCAAGCTCTAAAATGGACCTTTGGGAAGAGAAGCTGTGGCTTATGTGGAATTTCCATGGGCCTCCTGATGGAAGAAAGCTTATCTGTTTAGTATTTGTGCATTTTACTAAAAAAAAAAATGGCAGCTTTAAAAAAAAAAAAAAAAAAAGTTGTGTATCTGCTATTGTGATGCCAATGCCCGTGTTTTAAGTGGAAAAAAAAAAATGACCTCTTTGCTTTGTGCTGTGTACACAAGATTGCTGGAAAAAAAAAAAAAAAGTAAAGGAAATACCCTTTTTATGGCTCACACAGCTTTGAAAGTAGCTGTCACTCAAAAACATGCGCTCACAGTTGAGCTGATATTTTGTTTCATTCTAAATAAATTGTTTCTTTTGAGGAAAAAAAAAAAAAAAAGAGAGCAAAAAAATCATGGTTTTTCTGGCCTGGGAGTTGAATTGACGACAAAACGCGTCGGCAGCGGAGAGGGGTCCCCGCTGCTGCTGCTGCTGCTGCTGCTGCTGCTGCTGCTGCTGCCCGTGTCTGAGCTGATAGTTTTGTGGGGCTTGTGAGCAAAAAACAGAGGAGAGAGAGAGAGAGATTAAACCGACACACCTTTTCGCGTTGACCGACCTGTTGTGCCAAAGCGGAGGAATCCTGGTCCACTGCCTTGCTGTGACCCCCCCTTCTCCTCCCCACACCCCGCCACCACCACCACCAGCTCGGTTTGCGGTGAAACAAAAAAAAAAAAAAAAAAAAAAAAGGGGGGTCACTCGCTGCCTCACTCCTCACCGGGACGGGGAAAACGCTCCTGCTGCTGGCACACAAAGGAGCAGGGAAGCACCACCCTGCGTCTCTCCCAACGGTGGCCAAGTCGTGGGGCTTCGCTGGTCGGAAGAGCCGGAGTTCCTGAAATTTTGGTTTTCTTTAAGTTGTTGGCTTGATTTGTTTTGTTCACCCGACACGGTTTTTTTGCCTTTAGTTTCCGTTCTTGGTTGTTGGTTTCGTGTTTATTTTTTTTTTTAATAATTTATTGTTGGTTTTTTTGTTATTGTTTTTTTGTTGGGTTTTTTTGGTTGTTTTTTTATTTGGAAGAGAGAGGAGAGAGAAAAAAAAAAGGTTCGGGATTGTTGCTTTGAATGTTGCACGTTTAAAAAAACAAACAAACAAACCAAACCAAACACCACCTTTGCACCAAAATTGCCAAAAGAAAAAGAGAAATGAGCCCTTGAGAGTGTTTTAAGTGCTGTTAATAAAACCAGGCGCTCCTCTTGTCTCCGGGGGCTTTTCAGCAGTTGTGGGTTTTAGTGCTGGATGGATGAAGAGCTGCTGAGAGCTGCAGGCGGTAATCTTAAACCTTTTGAGTTGGTGCCTCGGTGCCTTATTTTGACCGGTTTTGAAGCCAGCACGCCTCGGATGTGCATGCGCCCTGCTCGCGCCCCAGGGCCCCCCTTGCAGCCGCCTCCTCCCGGGGTCAGCAAAAACCGGAGGCGTCCCGAAAAATCCCGTGCCGGGGGCTCCTGGGCCGTGGAAGCTGTTCCCGAGCAGGAGCACCACTCCCCTGTTTGCTGCAGGACACTTCAGGGCGGTGTTGGAGGACCCCGTCATCAAGAGGAAGCTGCCCCTTGTTTGCATCGTTGGCTTCAGAACCTCTCGTGGTGTTGTTGCTTTGGGTTCAGATTAATGTGACGCGCCATGAAGATGCTTCGAGTGGCACTTTGCCCTGATTTGCCTTGACATACTTTTAAAAACTCCCGTGGATAACGAACCTAGTGCTGTCCTAGTGCAGGATCTTTGCTAGGATGCAGTGCCTTCCAAACCTGCGGATGCTCTGCCAGGTGTCTGTTCCCCGGGGCAAGGCGCTGTGTAAATCCCAAAAACAGGTAAGGGGGTGGAAGAGGTTGGACTGAATTGTACTGTGACAGAAGATTGTTGTTCTTTTCTTTTTTTTAATCTTGGTTCTCCAGTTGACTAACCCTTACTAACGTGTTTTATCCCATCAACATGCTGCTCCACCAGCAATGGATCCGAATCTTGGATGTGCCTCTGTGTTTGTTTTGGAGGGGTGGTCCCGTTAACAAACAGGGCTGTGGAGACCACACTAAGGGTCCTCAGCTTGGCAAGCTGGAGCTGTTGTTGTGAAATCATGAACTGCTCGAATTAACGCTGCTTTAACCCGGGATAGTGTTTGGAATCTGTATGTGTTGATAAGGAAAAGCCAAGCCGATGATTTGGCAAACGATCTGTTTATGGGATGCTGGTGGTGTAAGAATGTAAATTAAGCTGTCTGTTGTAAATGGGAGCAATTATAGCTGTTGCTGGTAATGAGGGGAAGGAATTGAGGAGGGGAGAGGCTGTTTCTTCTAGAAGTTGGGTGTTTGCAGCTAAAATTGGTATTTGTTGCGATGTGTTCCACGTGCTGTTAAGATCCAACCTCTGAGTCTCATTTGAAGTGTTGTACAGAAGGTTTGGGGTTGGTGGCAATAATGGGAGCTGTGTTTCAGCCTCTCTACCTAGGCTGGGGGATGATGGTGACCACATGAGTGATCTGTCATTGAAACACAAAAAAAGGGGATATTTTTGGCACCTTCTCCAATATCCAGGTGCGTGTGTGCCAAGTCTTGGGCACTCTCCCGCTTCTTGGTTAAGCTTTGACTTCTGGGTGGCTGTTCCAGAAGATTTCTGCCTCCCTGCCTCAGGTTTCCCTGTGTGTTTAACTGGGAGATTGTTCCCTGCCTCCTTTACATTATGTATTTATTCCAGGGACTGGAGTTATCGTGGGATGTGGTGTGGGATGATTCTGCTGTGGTCGCTTTGTGCCAGCGAGTTGTTTCTTCGGGTGCTGGGCCTGCCTTTCGAGTGGGTTAGAGGGACGTTCCAGCCACCAGGCTGGTGTTAAAACCAGTCTCTTGGAAGGGTTAAGTGCTCTATATGCACCATATTAATTTGGCTAATGAGACTTCTGGGGAAGGTGGATTTCTAACGAGCACCATTTAATTAACTGCGCTGCAGCAGAAAGCGGCGCAAGCGGATTAGTCGGGAGCCGGTTATTGGAATTCACACGTTTTTTTAGGACTGTGCTTTTACCAGCTGCAGCTGAATTAATAAGTCTCAAACATCAGATGGCCCAGATTCTGCTCTTGGCCAGTAACAAGCTTATGTTGGCCTCATCCTGCTGGTTTACTACGGAGTGGCAAATGCTCCTGGAGGATTCACTCCCGCCACGTGTCGTGGGGGTTGGGGCAAGACCAGAAAGGTTTCACAAGGGGTCTGCAGAAGGGGCAGGGAGAGGAGTAGAGAGGCTCTTGGGGTGATGGACTGCAGTGACTCCCATTGGGTGTCCTGCAGTCACTGGCTCAGAGCTGCGTGCTGAGTGTAATCAGACCTGGCCTGGGAGCTGGGTGAGGTGTCAGCTCCTGAGGCAGAGTAAGTTCTGAGGGACTGGATGAGCTCCACATGGAGTGATGGGCTTAACAAGAGCCTCCTGTTTGTCCATGAGCTGATGGAGCTGAGGTGCCTCTACCGGGAGCAGGGAACATGAACGTGGTGGCACAAAGGTCTCCTCTTTGTCGATCCTGCTCCAGGGAGGTGCTGATTCACCACGGCTGGAAGGCAGAGGTGTGGATGCAGAGGTGAAACACACTGCTGTTGCTGCTGGCTTAAGGAGCTGCCCCCTGCCAGCCCAGCTTCTCTTCCCCAGTCCCTGAGGGTCGAAGTGGTGTGTGTTGTCCCGCCTTGGGGACGGGGTGTGTGTGCACGTGGCCGGCTCAGAGGAGCGGATGAGCTGGAGATTAATTGCGGGTCACGGCAGTTTCAGCTCCTTTATCTCCCTGCCTTGACCTTCACACCCAGTTCTGCAATTGGATCTGGAGATTTTCAGTTCCCTTCGGCATTTCCTGTCCCCGGGTCCGGCGATGGGGTCGGGCTGGCTTTCAGCAACGCTCACCCTTCAACTGGCACATTTCCCCCCGTGATCCTTCAGCCTGTATCTCCTTTCACCAGCACGTTCTGCATTCCCCAGCCTGTAAAATGAGACATTTGAGGTGTGTCTGAGGGCACACGTGGGGTGCAGAGGGGTTGGAGTGAAGGGAAGCCACTGGGGTCTCACAGGGTGGTTGTTAAGCTCTGCTTGCCCACGGAGAGGACCCTGGTGCTCTTTGGGCCACAGTGGGGTTTGCAGCCCCCTTTTGGCCAGTGGGTTGCTCTGGCTGTTGCCAGGCCAGCCTGGGGTGCTCCAGCTCTGACCTGGGCTGGGCAGAGGTTTGGGGCATGGTGGGGTCTGTCTTGAACCACCCAGTTGAGCTGAGGCTCGTGGGGAGGACGTGGTGAAAAAGGGGATGTGCTGGTGTTTCTCCTGCTGCTCCCTCTTGGCTGGATGAACACAAGGCTGGGTACAAGAATACAGGACTCTCCATCAGGAACTGCGGAGATAGGACAAGGGGGAATGGGTTCAAGCTGAAAAAGGGGAAATTTAGCTCAGAGAGATGGAAGGAATTCTTCCCTGGGAGGGTGGGGGGGCCCTGGCACAGGTTGCCCAGAGAAGCTGTGGCTGCCCCATCCCTGGGAGTGTCCAAGGCCAGGTTGGGCAGGACTTGGAGCAGCCTGGGCTCGTGGAAGGTGTCTCTGTGATATCCCCATGGCAGGGGGTAGAGCTGGATTAATTTTGAGGTCCCCTTCCCACCCAAACCATTCCAGGATTCCAAGACCTACTTTTTCCCGTCTGCCAGCCCAGCTTTCTCCCGTGGCACAAATTCATTCCTGGCTCTCAGATATCCTAAGTGCCTTTGCTCTTCCTCCAGGCACTCAGAGCTGCATCCCAGCAGCAGTTGGGAGAGCCCAATCCCAGCTGTCCCATCCCTGTGACCGCCCTTGTCTCATCCAGGGTGGCTGTGACTCCCTGTCCCTGCCTGACCAAAGCCTTGAGGGGCTGGAGCTCGGTTTGTTGGTGTTTTATTCATCACTGGGGTGTTGCAAAGATGCTCTTTGGCCTCTTCCATTCCAGGGTGCAGCCCCTGCTCCATCGGGCCCACGTGAGGAGTGTCTGTAAGGGAAAGTTTTGCAAAGCTTGGTCGTGGCTTTGGAGGCAAAGTCTGCTCTGGAAACGGGACTTTGGCCCATGGATTGCTTCTGGAATTGTCCGTGGCTGTGAGCAGGAGCTCCCATCTCCTTGTGGTTACTGCAGGCTGGGAAGTTTTTCCACAAGGATCTCTTAGCTAAAGCTAAAACGTCTTGGTTTCACAAACACCTGGTTTGATTTTTTTGTTAATTAGAGTTGCTGTTAAATTCC